CTAATGAGAAGGAAGGACTCCCTGGAGAAGAGCCTCATGCTGGGAACGATGGAGGGCAAAAGAAGGAGGGGATGACAGAGGAGGAGTTGGCTGGATGGGGTCACCGAAGCAGTTGGTGTGAGCTTCAATGGACTCCAGAGGATTGTAAAGGACAGGAAGGCCCGGAGGAATGTTGCCCATTGGGTCGCGATGGGTTGGACACGACTTCTCAACTAACAACAGCAACAATCTCCTTCTGCTTTTTGATGACTCAATTTATAGCATCCTGGAGCAAACACTTACTCCATAGGTGATCATCACTGCTTTGGGTTTGAGTAGTTTTCCAGCTCCCTGGAACAAGCCCTGGAGAATTAGAAGCCAAGAGGAGAAGAGAGGAGAAGAAGCTGTCAGTCCTGGAAAAAATGTCTATTAGGGTCACAACATAAATACAACATTGTTCAAAGCAAAATACTTAATCCAGCTAGTCCTTGATTTACGACTATAACTGGGACCAGAACTTGGTGGTGATTGTGTTCAATTTTACAATGTGGTTTTTTTTTGCTGTGCTCGTTAAGTTTGCTGTTGCCTTCCTAGAGTTGAGGGGGTGAGGCAAGGTGACCCATCTGATTTTTATGTCCAAAGCGGGACTAGAATTCACAGTCTCCTAGTGATTGGCCCAAAGTCACCCAGCCTCCCTTCATGTCTGAGGCAGGACTAGAATTCACCATCTCCCAATGATTGGACTAGAATGTACCATCTCCCGGTGATTGGAAAGTGGCCCAGCCAGCTTTCATGTCTAAGATAGGACTAGAACTCACCGTCTCCTGGTGATTGGCCCAAAGTCACCCATCTGCCTTTCATGTTTAAGGTAAAGGTTCCCCTCGTGCATATGTGCTAATCGTTCCCGATTCTAGGGGGCGGTGCTCACCTCCATTTCAAAGCCGAAGAGCCAGTGCTGTCAGAAGATGTCTCCGTGGTCATGTGGCCAGCATGACTCAACGCCAAAGGAGCACAGAACATTGTTCCCTTCCCACCAAAGGTGGTTCCTATTTTTCTACTTGCATTTTTACGTGGTTTCAAACTGCTAGATTGGCAGAAGCTGGGACAAGTAACGGGAGCTCACTCCATTATGCGGCATTAGGGATTCAAACTGCTGAACTTCCGACCTTTCTGATCGACAAGCTCAGTGTCTTTAGCCACTGAGCCGCTGCATCTTAGAATTCAATCCTCTAGTGATCGGTCCCAAATCGCCCAGCTGATTTTCGTGCCTAAGTTGGGACTAGAACTCACCATCTCCCAGTTTCTAGTCTGGCGCCTTAACTGGGACACCAAACTTCCCCGCAATTAAGTGGGTTAAAACAAAGCTTCAGTTGTACATTCAACGGTAAGAAGAGAGACCCATTCATCCATGTGGCAAAAACTCACAGGTCCGGTACCACCTTTCTCTTAGCACCTAATGAGGCAAACCGCAGCTTGTGAAAGCAACTCCCTTTAAAGAGAATTTGGTTGTGGGAAAAAGTNACCTTAGCAACTTGAAGATGTCTGGACTTCAACTCCCAGAATTCTGGGAGTTGAAGTCCGGACATCTTCAAGTTGCCAAGGTTGAGAAACACTGGCCTAGAGACATGCAAAAAGCACTGGATTGTAAACAATTAACCCAAGTTATGTCAGCAAAAAAAGTTTGTAAGTTATCACCCCTCACACGGTGTGAAGCGGTGTGCAATTCACCAGGTTCAAAAGCAAACCAACCCATTCCTCGTTCCTGCAGAAAACTGGGCCAGTGGAGCTGGCAGCAGATTCAGACAGTGAGGAGGTTGGGGGCGGGGGGCATGGGCCAGTCCTGGAGTCTGGGGAAGGCTTGGACGAGGGTTCTCTATCGGAGGCAGAGAGGGAGCCAAAAAATATGGTATATTTTCAACTGGAGAGGGGGAGCTTACAGGCGTTTTGTCTCCCCTTCCACTTAAACATCAAAAGTTTTAGTAATTTTTCAGGAAAAAATAAATTATGTCCCAGACTTCTTAAAGCCGGACTGTCCAACTCAAGCAACTTTTTAAGATTTGTGGACTTAAACTCTCAGAATTCTGCTGGCTGGAGTTGAAATCCGCAAGTCTTAAAGTTTGCCCTGTCTTGAAGCATTATTCCTAAATTCTCATTCCTGCGGCCTCTCCTCATAGCCCTCCTCTGAAGCCGCAACCTCACCACAGCCAGCAAAATGGCTCATTTCCCCTCCCAAGCCCAGCCCTCGTGTATTAACCAGGATTTGTGGCTTGCCATGTTCTCCCAATCAAAACCCACAGAGGCATTTAAGGCGTCCTGATATTTGAAATCCCAGGATTTCAAACCTTGGTTACACTGGTGCGGCGTTCTGAATCCACCATATTATGGGGCTGTTGTGGAGGACCAGCAAGCCACCTGGTAGAGGTTCAGTTTCGTTAACCGAGTTTGTTTAATGTACCCTGGAAACATACCCTGTTTCTGAGGCTGAAGGGGGGGGCCTCTAAATTTGTGATGTGAGGGCCACAAGCTAAAACTGATTCTGAAGCATCATGTCCAAGGCAGATAAAATGCATGATAGCCACACTAGTCAAGCCATTGCATGTACAACAGTGGTCCACAAATTCTCCCTTGTCCAACAACACAAGCATCTAGCCCCCAACTCCAAAGAGGCACGAAGAGCCTATCTCTCCACCAGAAAAAGTCAAGATCAACATGACCCACCATTTCTGCTGGGCCACGGTTCTTCCGCAATGTTTCCTTCCCCAGCTATGAAATGATTATGGCACTTGGTCCCAACCACCCCGGTAAGGACTTCCTCGTGGATGGGTCGAGAAGTAAGAGCTCAGCAGGAGAGAAGCAGAAGAAATCCTGCAGAAGGGGGGAAGAAGATCTCCACCGCACCTTGAAGTGCTCCATGAAGTTCCCTCGTGCAGACAGCCATCCAGCGACTTTAATGTTTGCGGAAAATGAGGCATTTGTTGTTTGCCGGCATGTCGACCTGGAAGCAGAAACAGTTGTGGCTATTCTGGGCAATAAAATGGTAACAGATGCCAGGCTATTGACGTACCAGGAGGGGTCACCAACCTTTTGGACCTCTGCGACCACTAAATGTATAATTTTAAATCCCCGTGGACTACTAATATTATCTGCCTAGTGATTGTTTGGGTGGGTGTGGCTAGGTGGCCATGTGACTGGGTGGGTGTGGGCAACTAGATCAGTGTTTCTCAACCTTGGCAACTTGAAGATGTCCGGACTTCAACTCCCAGAATTCCCCACCCACCATTCTCTGTGGCGGGGGGTTTTCGGGGGTTTGGGGGGGGAGCTTTTACTAGT